AAAGTCCCTTTAAAAGGGCTTTTCAGTTCTCTGTCATTCTCTGGTTATTTCCAGTGACTTGTTGAGGAAAAGAAAGTGAAGTAATTAAAAATTTATCCTTTTTTCTTTATTTAATTTAATTTTCCCCATGTTTGGAAATAAAAAAGTTCTGGGTTTCAAGGAAGAGATGACGTCTGTTTTCTTTTGTACATCTACTCTGTTCTATAAGTTCCTCAAGTACAATCATTACTCCATTATTTATAACAACACAAACAACATATCCAACGTGAATTTAGGAATACGATTTCTGAAATTCGATTGTTTCTCTGCGATGCTCTCTTGTTATGTCACCATCTTTCTTGATCTTTGAAGTTAGCGTCAAATAATACTCTTCTTACCTACTTAATTTCATAGTTTTATCCAAATTGGGCTTCTGTTTTCTTTTCCTTTTCTATATAATCAAAAGTAGTGATTTTTCGTGTTGATCTTGATTTATGTTACTTTATACTCCTTCAACCTTCTAATTTGTCCCCTGCTTTTATTTTTCAATGGTTCGTGTGCCTAAAAGATTACAAAATCTGTAGTTTTGGCTTTACTTTTAGAATTTACATCAACACCATTTTATAACAAGTTCTCATTCATGAAGGTGTTATTTATTATAACTATATAATTGTTTGTTGACATTAATTATATGTCGGTATATTCTTTTACATTACTTTTTAAACATGAGATTTTGGTTTTTGGTTCTCTTATTACAATTCACAATTCACAAATCACAAGGTCATTTTGGTCATGTAGTGAATTGTTTTTTTACTGGGATTTATGCAAAAACCTCTTTGGAACTTGTAATTTCTCAGAATTTTATTCCTTTCTTGTGATACTTATTTGTCTCTAAAGAAAAGAACATTATGTCTACTATTTATCACACAGAGTTGCTTCAAATTTCAATCGTGTTATTGTCTGCATGCATTATTCTCTTTTTGGTTTGATTACAAGTTAACTTTGTCTTTTGATGTTCAGCGGATCTTTATTTTTATTTTTTTTCATTCTTAATAAAAAAAAGGCTGCTTTTTTTTTATTATTTATAACAGGAGTACTCGAGAAACAACACCATGCAGTTTGATTAGGAATCCGGACATAATTAGAACTCCAGGTTCATCCACAAAACCAAACAGAAAAAACAGAGTACAAAATACAACAGCAAGGCCTATTCCATCAACAACTGAAATGGATGAATTCTTCACAGAACCTGAAAAACATCAGCAAAGAGTGTTCATGGAGAAGTATATATACATATTTTTTTACTTATTATTCAAAATGTGGGTTTTGTTTATTTATTGATTCTTGATTATGTTTGTTTAGGTACAACTTTGATCCTGTAAACGAAAAGCCTTTAAATGGGCGTTATGAATGGTTGAAAGTGGATGATGCTATCAAGAAAAGTTAATCTTTGTTCAAGATTTTAGCATAGTTTGAAGATAAGCGTAGATGTAGGTGTAGATTTAGGTTTATTATTATTATAATTATAATTATTGTTATGTTTATGTGGGTGATTTGTAAAGAAAGAACATGAAAAACCCTAGCGCAGATTGTAGACTAGAAGATCTGTAACATAAGACAAGAGCTTCTAACAAGTGAAGAACACGAAGAAGAAAAAGAAGAAGGTCTTCAAAAAAAAGAAAAAAAGGGGATCCAATGACGTTAAGTTAGTTTTGATTGTCTATATTTTGTACTGATGATGAAAAAACTATGAAGATCCCTTTTTTTTGGTGATATAAATTATAAAATGACCCTTTTGGCCTTTTATGTTGGTTATGTGAATAGAAAAGGATGAAACAAAATGAATCTTGATGTTTCAAAAATGGATAAATAGTACTGTGTTGTGGTTATATATATATATATATATATATATATATATATATATATATATATATATATATATATATATATATGTGAACATGTCTTTTTAGCTGCTTGTGAGAAAGGAAAAGGGTTGGGGTTGGTGTTTGGTGGTGGGGTTGAGTTGGGAAGAATCTTGTCTTCTCTATTATTGTGTCAGTCTGTACTTTTATTTTATTTTATTTAGAATTATCAATTATTATGAAGTTATGTTTGTTTAAATTTTAATTTTGTATCTTATCCTGTTGCAGTTTTCCAGCAATAACTTCCAAAGTATGTCTCAGATATAATAGATACAAAAAAAAATGTATTGATTCAACTTTTGTCCAAAGATCCTTTGTAACTTCTATACATTTTAAAAAAAATGTATGTGTTGCTTTCAAAATGGTAAAAATTGTATTTTTATATCAAAATGATAAAAATTGTATAAATTTTAGTGGAAAAAGCATTTTCTCCAACTCGTTACACCGTTTTTAACAACAAAAAAAAAATGGCTGTTTTTTTTTATATTATTATTGTGGTAGAACTAACTATTTGAGAGACAACGATTCTGCTTGATTAGGAACTAGGTGTGAAACCCGTGTACTACACGGGTTGATTAAAAAAAATTATATATGAAGATATAAACTTTAAATATTTTTTTTAAAGAAAACATTAAATATCAAATTGTAAACATTAAGTATTTTTTAAAATAAATTTTCAAAATATATATACAAACAAAATGATCGAATAAATAAATAATTCAATTTGTATTAATAAAACACACTATAGAAAAATAATTATATTTTGACCATATAACATTTTTTTTAGTTTGTCAATAAAAAGCAACAAAGTTTGATTATTTTTTTTATATAGACCATTTTGCCTAAAATGACAATGAACTTTATAAAAAACATGTCAATTTTTGAATTATATATATTAAAGGAAACATATTAAAATATGAAAATATAAGGAAACAAATTAATGACACATTATTTTCTATAACCTAAAAATTAGATAATTAATTAAGAAAATAAAAAATTACCACAAAATGACAAGTGGAAATTAATTTCTAATAATTAACCACAAAATTACATGTGTTCAAATGCATAAGAAATTAACAAGTGGCAAAAAGTTCTTTATTTATTAGGGAGGTGATAATTAGAAATTTCGGTTACTCTATACTTTGATTATTTTTGTCAAATTTTTATAGAATTTAGAGAACCCCGTTATTTAGCTTCTATAAATTAAATTTGAACCATGTATTTTTTTAGAATGATCTAAAAAATAGACAATAATAACACAAGTAAATTATTTTATATAATTAAGATTTATAATATTAAATCAGCCATTTTAAAACTATATTATTCTACAATGATAACCAAAATAATTCATTCGTATATAATTAATTATTGTGATATTAAAACAACCTTAGACACTTAAAAAATCAGAATGTTGAATATTCTAAAAAGTAAATTACACGAATGGTCCCTATGGTTTAGAGTAATTTTCACGTTTTGTTTCTAACTTATTTTTTTTAACTCGGGAGGTCCCTACTATTTGTTTTTGTTACACGCTTGGTCTCTGTCTTACCTAAAAAAACTATTTTGTCCAATGATTTTTTAATTTATTTAAATAAACACACCCTCGACCCCACCCCCTTACCTTACTTTACCTATCTTACCATTTTTTTCTATTTAAATAATAATTTTTTTAGGTAAGACAGAGACCAAAAGCGTAACAAAAACAAACAGTAGGGACCAAGTGCGTAACAAAAACAAATAGAGACTTTCTGAGTTAAAAAAATAAGTTAGGGACCAAACACGCAAATTACCCCAAACTATAGGGACCATTCGTGTAATTTACTCTATTTTAAATAAATTTGAAACATGAAAGTTGAATTTAATATAGATAACATAAAATATTAATTTAATTTATAATGTAATACCGCAATCAAACTAATTGTACACATAGACTATAATTATACAGTTATACTTAGTAAAGAGTTTATGTTACAAAATGGTAATCAATAAATTTCAATTTAGTCTTTAATTCGTTTATTTTATAACAATAAGTTATTATTTTTTGTATGTTTCGTTACAACATTATATTTATGTAGAGTCAGCTGTTATTTGTTGTTATCGAATCTTAATAGTTTGTAGAAGGGTTGAAGGTGATGATGTAATAAAACATAAAAAAGAAACTTTATTGGTCTATTAAGGACAAAGCCAATAACATAAAGAACAAATTGAAAGTTATTGATTATCTTTCTGTAAAATTAATTTAATAGTAAATTAATAATACATAGAAAATAAGTGACGCAAAGGAAATTTCAACACCAAATTTCTTATTAAATTAACATCATGTTGTTTTTTTTTTTTTTTTGTTTTGAAATGACTAATATACTTTTAAATTAACACATATCTCTAACGAGACTTGAACTCATGACCTTTCAATTGAAAGAGTCATTCTTTACCGTTAGGTCATATGCTCTTTGACATATTGTTTCATTATTCATCAACACCAACACCAACTTTGATGTAATAAATGGTGTTGAGTCAAACCAACTTATATTAAAATTAGTGGCAAAATGGGATTTTATGTGGTTTTGGAGACTCGCGAATCCTTTCTTCTTCGAGATCTAAGAAATAAAATTGTTTTTATTGTAGGTGTTTAGGTTTGGTAAACAATTTTCAATTCGCAAATTGTTTAGGAAGGAATACAATATTATCTATTTCTTTATGACTATCTTGTTATAATTTTGTCATAAAACAGATAATTTTATTGGACATCCAAGCACAACACTTTGTTTGCCATTCTGCCTTGAATTTGAAATGCTTGACACGAATAAAATTGCCTTATTGAATATTTGACTGAGTTTAATACGCTAGTGGAGATGTTAACCATGATATATTGCCTCCCACTAATGTGCTATAAATTTGACATTACCCACCCAATTCCATGATCTCAAAAGGGTAAAATAGTCAATTAACTATGATGATCCTCCCATTTTCTTTATGACAACTAGTCATAAAACAATATATGGTGCACGTTATGAATGTACATATTTGTAACCAATAAAAAGGACTTTTAAACACACATAATTATTATTATCAACAAAAAAGAACATTTTTTTTGTCACATCACTTGTACAACAAAAAGCCAATAGCTACTCCGAGGATTGTTGTGGATACAACGAGCAAAATGAACTTCATTGTGAAATTTATCCCCAATCCTTTGTCTTCCTTGGTGATGGTTTGTTGTTTTTTGGCATTTTTATTATATTTAGGAGCCATCTTCTTGGAAATATCATAAAGAGGTTCTACTTCTACATGATTGATTTCTCCAACATAATACTCATCTAACATCAATCTTGCAGCACTCCCATGACCCACTTCCTCAAACTCATCGCTTGCATCTTTACCTAAGACACCAAGATCAAAACTTCATCTAAAATCCCAAAAAAAAAACATTTGTCTTTATATGTAGCTAGTTTCTGTAAAATATATGTGTAGTCTAAGATTGTATCAACAAAAAAAAAGTCTTTATGAAGAGAAAGAGACTCCAATGTATATAAAGATAGATATGCTAACAGTTTCTTATAATACCTGCTACATCCAACAAAACGTTATCTCCACCCGGATGATCATTCAAGAAGTTTGTAACATCATACACCTAGATGATCAATTACATAAGTCAAAAACAAAATGATGTGATCAAACGGGTTTATGTTAATTTTGATTTGTGTCTTACCCTCGCGTTGATAATGACCCAACAATCTTTATTATTGTTGTGTGGAGAGACATCTGCTAAATTGAAAACCACCTTGTTAGAGTTCATGATCTATTTCTATGCTTTGATGGAGAAGGAGATTTTGTTGAACAAATAACAAATGGATTGTGGGTGCATTTTCTTTTCTAATATGATGTGTGTTTGTCCATATACTAATGGACTATTCATGAGGTTTTTGATTCTGTAGATGATTCTCTCTTCTAAGTTGACATGTAAATATCTTCTATATAACAAACTTGATTCGTACAACTAAATTTCGTACTAATTATTAGGATGTAATTACCGACATAATATAAAAATAAAAAAATTATATGAATTATAGAAAGCCAAAACTATCGAGGTTTTGTTTATTAACCATACATCTCTTCTAAAATAATTATTGGTTTTAACATCTAGTAGACATTTTTTGATTAAATTTACAGGTTTATAATATGTCCGTTAAATCCAAAGAACTAGGCATGAGTAAACGGACCGAACCGGCCGGAACCGGCCCGACCCGGACCCGAACCGGGAACCGGCTTCGGCCAAAATCAAGAACCGAACTGGCCCGGCGGTTTTACCGGTTCCGGGTCCGGGTCCGGTTTTTGCCGGGTTTTCGATTTTGGAACCGGTCTGATTTGACACGTTTTCTTGCGGGGCTTGTAACTCATTCAATTTTTAACCAAATCAAGCGTTTTTATAGTCTAAACTTAACTACAAAACCTAAACTACGTGTAGGAAAAAAGATTCAGGTCAAAAAAACTTAAATTGAGTGAGTTATGCACATTTGAACAACAAAGTCAGATTACGTTTAATTGTTGTAACATAAAAAAATTCTGATTTGACACCCTTCCTTACGGGGCTTGTAACTCATTCAATTTTTAACCAAATCAAGTGTTTTTATGGTCTAAACTTAACTACAAATCCTAATCTACGTGTAGGAAAAAGATTCAGGTCAAAACAAGTTAAATTGAGTGAGTTATGCACATTTGAACAACAAAGTCAGATTACATTTAATTGCTGAAACATTAAAAAAATTCTGATTTGACACCCTTCCTTGCGGGGCTTGTAATTCATTCAATTTTTAACCAAATCAAGCGTTTTTATAGTCTAAACTTAACTAAAAATCCTAATCTACATGTAGGAAAAAGATTCAGGTCAAAAAAAGTTAAATTGAGTGATTTATGCACATTTTAACAACAAAGTCAGATTACATTTAATTGCTGAAACATAAAAATTATTCTGATTTGATATCCTTCCTTGCGGGGCTTGTAACTCATTGAATTTTTAACCAAATCAAGAGTTTTTATAGTCTAAACTTAAGTACAAATCATAATCTACATGTAGGAAAAAGATTCAGGTCAAAACAAGTTAAATTAAGTGAGTTATACAACTTTCAAAATTTGAGTGAGTTATCCGGTCCGGTTCCCGGTTTTGGGCCGGTTCCAACGACCGGTTCTTACCGGGTCCCGGTTCCAAAAATTAACGAGATTATAGTACCGGTCCCGACCCGACCGGTTCCATCGGGTTCCGGTTCCGGTTCCGGCCGGTTCCCCGGTTCATATGCTCAACCCTACAAAGAATCAAGCTCTCATAAGCCTCGTCTATCTTAATATGATAATATCTCAGTTGATAGTCATTGATAATAACGACTTTTAGGTAATTATTTTATTGGGTTCTTAAAAAAATCTCTCAATTTTTTTTAAAAAAAAATACCCACCTAGGTCTTCATTCTATCAAACACCTATTATTAGGCTAAGGTTGAAGGTGTGGGGCTGTTTTGCCGTCGGTATTCCGATGTAAACCATTATTACCGGCGGTAAACAACGGGCCTTATCCTTTTTTTTCTGTCGGCAATAACATGGTAGCGATAATATATCACCGATTTCTCACTCCTCTTTTACCAATGGGAATTTTCTCACAAAACTCCTTTATGTTTCATATATACTAGTATTTTAAATTAAAGGAAGTGTTAAGTGTTATTCCACTTTTTTCTATAAATTAAATATTATTAAAAGTAATATAAATTGGGATATAACAAAAGCTTTTAAAATACAGATCATGATAATTGTATATACATCATAGCCTAATGAATATGATCAAACTATTTTAGGTTATACAATTACGTGAGTTTAAATATATATGTATTTTAATTAATATTAATGTAATGAAATTTATATTTTTTTTAATTAATATAAATGGTAAATGTTGTATTTTTTTAATTTAAAAAGAAAAAAAAGTTGGTATACAAAAACATCACCACATCCTACTCGTAGGTAAATTATGACAAAAATGGTAAAAGATTATCTGGTGCTTATGTGACACTCTTTTTTCGTAGGCAAAAATTACACCACGCCTTTTAGCCTAAGGGGAGTGGTAACACTCCTAGCACCTTAACATATCAACTTTTTGAGTGTCATCTTATTTTTCTCCATTTAACACCTCATCTTAGCATTTGATAGAGAGTGGTAACACTCCTAGCATTTCATTTTCATTGGGTAAAAAATGGGTTTTTTTAATAAAAAAATATGAAATTTGGTGAAAAAATGGTTGGAACTTGTGAATGAGAAAACAGCCAATGAAATGCAATCATCGTTCCCTCTTTCCTCTCACCAAAACGGTAATGAGGATTGCTTAGCAACCCCCTAGCGAGGGCTAGGGGCGGTGTTCATGGAAGGCTAGTAAGCTTAGCAAGTGGGTTTGACACCCCCACTCAGTTTAGTCTTAATGTTTATTATTATTATTATCTTTTTTAATAAATTTAGTATAAATTTGGTATAAGATTGTTTTAATTTTTTTAAATCCATTATCTTAAATTATTATAAATCATATTTATTTATTTAATTATCTCTATTTTTTATTATTTAAAAACCTTTTTACTTTTTGACGTTTTAGTCGAATATATTTTTAATGTTATTTTTAATTTATTTTTCGCTGATGTTGTACGTTTATTTTTTAAACTTTATAACATTTATTTGTTTACATTATTTAAACATAACTTTTTTAACATTTTGTTCGTTTATATGAAACCGGCTTTTAAAAACTAAATTTTCCGAACTTCCTAACTTTTTTGATAACTTAAGAATGTTTTTAAGTTTGTAACATCCTGTTTCGAGAAGTTTCTTATTTCAAGATTGTGAACAATAAATGAATCAAACAAAAGCTTTGAGCTTCAAGGAAATGGGGTTTAGAACTTATTGTATGATAATAATGTTAGATAAGTGATTAAAACCTTCGATTTGTGCTTGGAAGAAAAAAGTTAAAATGGAAAAAAGTAATATTTCGGGTTTCTTGCATGGATTATGGTTTTAGTTCAACATGTATTAAGTCAAAAGTATTTAGATAGGGTTATGTGGCTCATCAATACATTTTCGTGTATATAAAGAATGCCAAAAACGGAGTTGAAACGAAGAAGTTATGATTATTTGAAGTTTGAGTGAAATTGGGTGAAAACTCGTTCTCACGAGGTGAGAAGTAATTCTCACGACATGAGAGTGCTCACGATGTGAGAATATATTCTCACAACATGAGAATTGTGCAACCAAAATCCCACGAAATTTTTAGGGTTTTCAAGGTATTTAAAGGTAAAGATTCATGTTTTACGGTATTTTCTTAGCCTCCGACATATCTATAACCTCTTGGGAGAAACCCTAGCCTCCATTTTCAAGATTTAAGCCTCCTCTCTCCTCTCTCATCTATTTTGGATTTTTTTGGTGGTTTTAGAGCAATGTTTTCATGCAAGATTGATCCTTGAAGCTTGGTAATTGACGATCTCAACGTTCATCTACCTTCTAGACATTTGTAAGTTAGAAAGTTTCAAACTTTATTGCATTTCATCTTTGGATCTAAGTGTATTTGGTGTTTTGGTCCATTTTAATGAGTTTTAAGGTGAGGGTTGGGAATAAATTTTTGCAACTTTATTACTCTCCAAGGTCCCAAGAACATTGTATGTTTCAGATCTAGACTCCAGCACCTTTTTGATCAATTTAGAATGTTTTTTTGGACCTTATGGACTATCAAAGTTTTGATCTTTTGCCGTTCCTTTCAGTCATGCAAGTTATTTTGGTCATTTAGGCCATTTAGGTGTATTAAAGTTTATATTTTGAAAGATTAAGACATTAATATGGGTAAAGTTGGAAACTTTATCCATCTAAACATCATATTGATTCAGATTTGAAGGTTGGAGACTGGACTTAATGGATTTAACTGAGAAATATGCATTTTTGGTCCCTTTGAGACTTAAAAACTAGATATTGATTTTTTGGACCATCCTAATGGATAAAATTGGAAACTTTATACATTATGAAGCTATTTAGGAACTAGATATGAGGTTATGGGCCTTGGTGTGAAGAGATTAAGCACTTAATGAAGATTTTAGCCTTCTGGTCGGAAGTCACAACGTGAATAGAATGTGTCACGACGTGACGGTGCCCAGAATCACGATTGTTTTATCAGTGCATTATCACGACGTGACGTTGACTTTGACTAAGCTTATCGTTGACTTTTTGACCAGTTTGACTTTTGGTCAAACTTTGGTAGAATTGAGCATTTGACTAAGGATTAGTCTCGGTTTGGTTTCAGGAAGTTTGGTTTGGCTGTTCTGATGCTGATGTAGCTATTGGGCTTTTGTCGAGTAGTTCAGGTGAGTCTTCTCACTATGCTCGTGGGTTGAAGGCACCAATGTCACTAGATTATGTTGTGTAGAATGCTAATTGTCTTTGTGACTTTTACATGTATGTTTGGGTTGAAATATACCTCAGGGTGGGGCCCATTGATATGTATTGGGTTGACATATACCCCAGAGCAAGGCCCATTGATATTAGTGGGTTGAAATATACCCCATGGCGGGGCCCCATGATATATATATATATATATATATATATATATATATATATATATATATATATATATATATATATATATATATTGGGTTGAAATATACCTCAAGGCGGGGCCTATCGATATGTATTGGGTTGAAATATACCCTAGGATGGGGCCCATTGATATGTATTGGGTTGAAACATACCCCAGGGCGGGGCCCACTTTTTTGCATGAGATGTGGTATTTTGGGGAATTCACTAAACTTTGTGCTTACGATTTATGTTTAAAATGTTATCAGATACTTCTGATTTCAAAATGAAGGGTCCGGCTTGATCGCACTGCATACTCTGATGTTTTGTGAATACTTTTACTCTTATCGTCTTTTGGATAATAGTACATTAAGCACAAATGGATCAAATGATTCAAAGAAATAGATGAGATAAATGGCAAAAAGAACATAGACAAATTCAAGTTTTGGTGTCACATCATGGGTGTAACTGGGTTACCCGTTCAACATTTAGACAAAGGACATTTTAAACCGTATATTTTGACCTTAAGCATGTATTAAACCTTCACCTTCAACTTTAAGCACCTAGAAATAAATAAATAAATAAATAAATTTAAATGAACAATTAAACCAATTTCGAAAAGTTTGTAGGACTAATATGACATTATCTCATTTAAAAATAAATTATGGACACCTTACATAATCAATAATCATGTGGCCAGTCATGTCATTTGTTTACTTTATTTCAGGTCTTGTAAATTACACTTTTGGTCCTTAGGTATATTATTATTTTCATGAAGTTTGGTCCAAGTAATTATCATTTTCTATAATTTTGGTCCTAAAAAAATTTCTTACCATTTTGGTCCTTGTTTGAGGTTCTTCTACCAATTTTGTCCATGTTTCAAAATATTTTTTAAAATATTTGTGTAACTTTGGTGTCACCCACATTACGTAGTCATATGCTCAAATCATATCAATTGTTTAAAGCTTATTCCACGATGGAATAATTATATCCTAAGATGGTCTCTTGGTTTGTCGAATGTCATGAGATTCAATCGGAATTTGAGTTAAAAAACATTTTGATCGCATACTGGAAACAAGTAGGGAAATTAATTATGTTGAAATTCACAAATCCTTTCACGAGTGGCTATCAACAATCCATACAAAAAAAAAAGACACTTGAAGTCTTTTGTTGCACTTTTATATGATTTTATAATGGTTTTTAACCTTTTACCCGTTGAACATATAGATTTCTTAAAACATGACATTGGAATCTAGTAAGTTATTCAAAAACCAATCAAAGACCCTTGTTATTCGACCACATGAGGTTTAGTCTAACACAAGTTTTAGCCAACTATGACAAGATAAGATAGCAAATAAAAGAAACAAGCTTCGATAGGCTAACCTCATGAGCAACACCCACATAAATGAATATCAGTTGAATTGGTTAATATTTAGTTTTTTTTTTCTAAGTTGAGGAATAAAAACAAAACAAAACAAATGAAGGATATGCTAGAACCAAACAAGACTATCCACATACTCCAGGATTTGAAGTGCTTTTTGTTTTGTATGGGTCGATATAGTCTTGTTTGCAATTGCATCGTACAAAACAAGTCGACCATCCTTATCTTCAAGAAGCAACTCATTGCGTGATGTGAATCCAAATGGAAATCTCCAAGCAGCAGCCGTAAATTGAGTGAAAACATGGCGTTTAACCCATGATTCAGGCACCACATACTCTTCTATCACCCACACCTCACATGGACCATCCATACACCATGTCATCTCACAAATCTTTCCACCCAAAACTCCCAAACAATGCATTCCATGGTTGGAATCTAGAACATAATCTGGAAGAGGTATCTCATGGAATGTCTCTAAACCCAAATCAAATGGCACTATCATTCTTTCTATACTCGAATCGGTTGTATTTTCCCAATGAAAGAATAAATTCTAAAGAATGAGGTTCTAAATGTAGGTAATTTAATAACCAAAATCAAATTAATCATGAAAACATGAGAATACAAGTTACAATAACAATGAAGGATTGTACTGGAAGAAAGACCAACCTAATAACAGTCTCTTGTTCCAACACTTGTTCAGGCTCTGATATCCCACTGGCAGTAGAATTCTCACCTTGATCTGGTGACATTCCAGTTGACTTCTCTGATCATGTAATAGCTTTTGTAAGAGGTATGTATATCGTTATAACCAAGAATTTAAGTCAAGTAATACAAAGGCTATTGCTTATTATGATTTATGAATATCTTGGGTTTCAAACAGATATAACACATTTAAAACAAGATTGACACATTGCTTGTATCACTTATAACAAGAAAAAATGATTTAAAATGCAGGTGTATGAAAGACAATTGGATGCTAGATTCACAACCTGGTATGAAGACAATGATCAATTCAATGATCTAATGGTTAGTGTAGTCTAATCTCTAATGTGATGGTTTCACCACATGGCAACTATGATTATGAATCTAACCATCATATGATATCCCCCATTTTTGTGCTCCAATATCAAATTATCTCATCAACAACGAGAATTCAACCAACAGAAAACATGCATCTATAAAGAAACAATTTACAGTACAATAAGAGATGAGCATCTCTCAATCGCCAAATTAAACCTTAAGTAATTTTCATAAATGCACAAATTTGATATCAATCAAGATGAAATCAAAGCTTAAATTCATGATCAATGATGTGGTATTTGAATGCCTTTCGAAATCCAACGCAAAAACCTAACTAATTGAAAAGAAAATGCAACAATCATCTGATGAAAAACAAAAAAACCTAATACAAAGCCACTCAATTTATGAAACCCTAGGATATCTATAAGAAACAACATCTCGATACGACTAGATAGGCCCTAGATTAGCTCAGAGTGGTAAGAAATAATTGTGAAACGATGTAATTGATACCAAATTTGTTGAACCTGGATTGAAAGGCCTATCAGTGAACTTTTCTCCGGGTGCTCCGCTTTCATATGGAGTCCTTCCATCGCCCGCCTTCGCCATAGGGGAATGTGAGCTCGAGCTAAAGGAGATGAACTAGAAAGAGAAAGAAAATGCAAAGAAACTTAGTAGAGTTGGGTTCGGTTCAACCCATTTATTAATTGGGTTAAATATTTCAACCTAACCCAATCTTTTTATTTAAATAGGTGGATATTTCCAGCCCAACCCAATATTTTAGATAAATGGGTTGTCACCGGGTTGACCCGTTTATGTAATTATCGTCCCAACCTATTGAATAAATGGGTTAAACCTAGGTTAACCCATTTAAATTAAAAAAAATAAATTAACTGAATATTACACCACTTAAAATAGTTCCAAACTTAAATAAACTTTGAAAGTATAATAAAAACATAATCTCAATTTACAAATGCAAAAAAATTATTTAAATAACATTAAAAGTATGTAATTTTGAAATATTTTGAAGAATGACTAGTGTTGTTGGCGCAAAGAAAAAAGATAAGAATTAGGATTGCATTTTATTAAAAAATAAATAACAATACAACCTTGTAATTTATAAATTAATACTTAGATTGATACATGGTAATATTTAAATAATTACTAAATTAAATACATATTAAATTTAAATGGATTGTGGGTTGAAAACGGATTGATAACTTTTATCCAACCCAACCTATTTAATTAAAAGAGTTAGGCGGGTTGACCCATTTAACCTAAATGGGTTGAAAATCTCAACCCAACCTACTAACGGGAGGCGTTCTTTTTTGTGCACAATGCTTATGAAGTAGGTACTCTAATTAAACTTTTATAAATTTCAAATTGAACACATAAATAATTAAATATCACGATTCACCAATAATTGTGAATTGTGAGTTTTACGAATTTCATTGTTGCTTCTAGTATACATTAGACATTGTGGTTATATAACTTTTTTGAATTATTTTAACGCTGATATTCTATTCTATTCTATCCTTAAATCTATATCTTTCATTCTATCAAATTTAAACTCTCAATATTTGATTGAAGGACTTCAATCCATCAACTTCTAATATCGTTATAAAAAATCTGAAGTTATGAATTTTATTATTGATTAACGAATTTCATAAGATAGCTAAAATATTAAGTTAGGTTTTTATGTACTCAACCTACTCCATTTTATATATATATATATATATATATATATATATATATATATATATATATATATATTAAGTTCGAAATTCTATGAACACACTTTGAAATGTTACAAACACTTATATTCTTTTTGAACCCTAAAACACGTGCCTCAACCCCACCCCCCACTATATAAAGGTATTGGCAGAATTATCATATTTTATGTAACATCCTGTTTTCCGTTAATTATTTAATAAAGAAATATCGGTATAAATACAATTAAATAAATAAATAAGATCAATGATAGTTAATAATAAAAATAATTAAGAAATGAGTATTTGATAGAATTGTAATCATATCTCAGACAAGGGACCAAAAAGGTCATGTTAGAAACCTTGTGATGCAAAGATATTTGTTTTACGGGTTAAAACTGTCATTATGAAATAACTTAAGGGTGGAAACTAAAAAATATGAAAATAAGGTCATGAGATCGAAGGGAATTTGGGTTTGGGATGATTACTTGTTCCTTACTTAATCCAATTAACATATTTAAGCATCAATAAAAAAAATAAAGCTAGTGATGTACGTGTTTTTGCTTGATGCGGCACAAAAGAGAACCGTGAGAGATCGAAAGAGTGTGATCGGGAAAAGGGAGAAGGAGGGGTTGCCATAAAAGGAGGTGGTTTTAGGGAGTTGGTTTTTGGTGTTGTTTATTACATTCAAAGTAAGCTTTCATATTTTTCTTCCCTTCTTTGATTCGATTTCTACCCAAAATTATCATCATCATCGCTACGGTTGTCGCCACTGACCACCACTGCTACGATGGTAGTGGGTGGTGATGATGTTAAGTCCATTTGTTTGTTCTTTTCTTGGTTAGGTTTTGTGTGGGTGCAAGAAAAATAAACCCTAATTTGAGATTTTATTATATAGGCATTGTATTTTCTTTTCCCTTTAAAAGCATTATACATCGAGTCATGGGTTGATGTTTAAATTGGCTTTTGACTCAATGAGTTATTGCTATTGTTAAGAGCTTGAATTCAAGATTTAAGAGACTTTGGTTGGTGACTTAATGGCTTAAGATGTCAATTAACCCTTAAAAGTCAAAGGTGGGAAATAATATGAAATTACCTATTATATCCCTGTTTTGTAAAAATTCTGGAAAAATCTCATAAAGTCGGATTTTGGATTTGTCAGTTCCCAAAGTTTAGGTTTTGAATCTAGTATGTCCCTGATTTTTTTTATTGACCTGACATTGGCTTTAACTAGGGTGAAAATCGTCATTTTCATTGATTGGTCAGAAATTTGCTACAAAGATATACCATTTTTGAAATATTCATAGTAAATTGTAGAAAAATCGTATGGACATGTACAATTAGTTCCTAGAAAGCTAAAAGACTGAACTATTGGAATATGGAAAATATTGTAACTCTGGCAGGCTTTGGTGGTGTTAAAGTGACCTTGAACGCGCTATTTTTCCGGGTTGAAATCTGTAAATTTAGTCTAGTAGTTTGTCTATATGTTTAGGGTAAAGAATATCCATTTTTAATCTTTATTACTATTATAGGAGTGTTGAAAGTTGACTTCATGTGATTGAGTTTTCGGGTTACAGTTGGAGGTTTACTCTGCTACTCGAGGTGAGTTTCATACTACGCTGTGTGATGTTGTGCATCCTTTACTTTAGCTCGTGTGTATTCTTGTAGGATGTGTATGGGTAGTACTAGGCTGGGTTAGTGTCAATACGTATAGGAGGGTTCGACATATTAAGCGGGGGATCGGGCTTAGCAAATTTTTCCTAAGGTCTCAGCACATTGATCAGTGAGGATTGGGCGTAGCCGATGTGTCCCAATGGGGTTAGATTAAAGGGATCAAGATTAGTCGATGTGTCCCAAGGGCTCGACTCACTGAGCAAGGGGGATCGGGCTTTGCCGATGTGTCCCGGTGGGTTAATATTTGTTTTTTATTTCTTATTTAACTTGCATGCATCGTTATGTAGATTATCTTAATAATGCATGTGTGTTAAGGGAAGAGCTTGTATGAGATTATATTGTGTACGTGTGAAATTCACTAAGCTTTATGCTAACCCCTTTTCCCTTAAAAATTATTGTTTCAGGATTAGCATGTACTCGGGATGGCAGGGCGTGACAGTATACACTGGCTCGGGACGGATAGAAAGAGTTTTCATGACAATATGAAATTATGTTTTCTTTGACTTTTAAATTTATAACTTTCAAATGGCTTTTGGAATTACTTTGATATTAGGGTTTGGTTTTGAAACATTTCTTTAATAAAAGTTGTGATTTTTTTTATAATTGTATTCATTAAAAAGTTAAAATTTATTGCAAAAATTGGGAAGTTACATTTTAAAACTTAAGCCAACTTATTTTTCGATAAGAGATAAGAAACATGTTCAATATAACTTAACTGAATAGCTGACCCACCCCCTTTTATTATTTATCCAAAAAAATCAATCATATCATCCCCTATCGATTCCAGTTTTTTTTATGCATTCATAGGACATACATTCCTAAATTATTGTTTCAAATATATAAGCTTACAAAGTATGATCTCATAATGAGTTTTGTCCAAAAATTTGTTTTTTCAATGAAAAATGCTAAAATTTTTGGGCAAAAATATGGATGCTACACAGCCGTCAACAAGATACAAAATAAGTTTGAAGCATGACTCTAAGTAAGTATAAGTCTGAATCCAAAATTGGGATGCCTAATGGCGTTTTTCCTCGAACCAGGAACTATGATGCATGGGCCAAATTGTCAGATTCGCCTTAAGATACTTCGGACATACGAGTCCTAGATTTACCTTAATGGACAAACAAAGCCTCTCAAGCCTAGCCCCGATCGTAAAATAGAATTAAATGTCAACGACACATCCTCTTGTTGAAAATACATGTGTTTGGTACTCAATAAATAAAAGTACTATGTTCAGACGACCATAATTCCAATTCTACACCAAAATAACAAATCTATGAAAGGTAACATTATACATATGATATGGGCATATTTAGTCATATAATTTATATATTATCTTAATACTTTATGTTGATTTTATCTCATTTAATGAACAAAATGTGCTTAATTAGTTTAGAATTTCATTTTTCAGCAATAATGACATGCTCGAATGGAAAAGGAAGCGGAACTAGCAATTGAAGCTTGGAGATTGGATTTTGAAGAAAGAAGGTTGTTGTTGGACAGCTTGACCCCTCGTCAGTGTTTTTGCCATATCTCATGAACCGTAACTCCAATTGACGAGATTCAAAATGTTCTGAAAACTAGACACAATTTCGGACGACTTCGTGTTTTGAGAAAATGCTGATTCCAAATGGACTCAACGAGTTGTCCATCAACTCGACGAGTTGGTCATAAGTTTCGCGATTCTTGACGCTGACTTGCCGTACACGGGATTTTAATTGATGGACTCGTCGAGTCGGTCACTGGAATCGCCGAGTCGCCCCTGTTTTCAGAATATATATATATATATATATATATATATATATATATATATATATATATAGAGAGAGAGAGAGAGAGAGAGAGAGAAACACTTCTCATTCGAACCCTAACTAATGGGGGAACCCTTGGAGGCTAATTTGCGATTGAAGTTGCTGCTGGAGCCTTAGGAACTCGAAGATCAAGTCTAAGCATCCGATTTTGGGAAGATTAAAGGCAATTCAAGTGTATTCTTACTTAATCTTTTGGTTAAATATGTTTGCATCAATTGATTTCGTTTTTGAGCTGTATTCTGCTTTAATTATGAGCTAAAAACTCATAACTTCTGTTTAGGAGAGATGACTTTATGAATATGGTCTGATTTTATGATTGGATTAATTTAATTTGGTGATTTTGTTTTGTTAAGCTTGTTAAAGAACCTTATGTGTTAACAACAACTATTTTCTGTTAATTACAAGTATATTAAGC